GAGGTCCCCACCCACGTTGTGTCTGCACAAATTACCTTGCATGTCAAGATAATATAATGCCGTGGAATGTGGTGCTGCCGGGATAAGGACAGCCCAAATTTAAATAACAGATTCCATCAATCTCTTGAATTTTTTTTGTTTTTATTTTTTGTCAGAATGTTGACATGCGAGATCCATAAATTTAATCGAAGAATAATTATATGGATTTCTTGAATTTGAAATTCGAAGTGAATACGTATCGGTTTGGTAGGCAGACATGGGTAGTGGTTAGGTGATATCGGTTAAGTTTGGGACTCAATTGCCGTCTTTTAGTACGTGTTTGGGACTTAATTGAATCCATTGAAAGGTTTTGAGAGTCGATTGTACTTCTCAGTAAAAATTCGAGATTTAATTGAATTTAATTAAAATATTTAGGACCTAATGCATTATGTTAATTTCTTGGTTTACATTTTGAACGGACGAGCCATTGAGATGGCCCCGTTTCAGCTCCGTTAGTACTGTGGTCGTCATGTTTAAATAATTTTGGGATAGACATTAAACGTTGGTGGTAGCATATTTTGTTATTTTATCTTTTCACTTTTTTATTGTTTTATATGTATTTGCAATCATATGTGGGTATTCATTAAGGGCAACCGGTACTTGGGTCGGTTCCCCGGCCTAGAACTGGAAATCGATCAAGTGACTCTCGATTTCAAAAGATTGAAATCATAAACCTAAGCCATCGGTTCTGGAACAATCGATTCGGGTATGGTTCCTAAGTAGATCGGGAATAATTCTTGTAATAAAATATAAAAGTTGTACTATATCACTATAAAAACATTTGTTTGTCAAATGGTCATGTTGAAGGTCATGGTTCGGTTCTTGATGGTGCAAAAATATTCCTTTTTTTTTTTTTCTAAAAGATGCTTTAAAACCGGTTTAGAACTAGTTCTACTTGAGTAGAATCGGCGCTTCTGGCCCTGGAATTGAAAATCGAAACCGGTCGATCCTGGCTAGTTCGGTCCGGCTCATCATTTAGGAAGAAAAAGAAGTCTCTTGAGGGCATTACGAAACGTCCTTGAGTAATATATTCATTTCTGAAGAAAAAGTCCGATCAGGGACATGTAGAGAACGGTCCCAGGTCGAGACGTGCTGCTCTCGTCCCAATATGTTGACATAAAGTGGTTCTTTTAACGTCCCTATCAACATTAGAAAAACGCTATGTGAATGAACGACTAGTGTTCGGGCAAACTCTTTGCAAAATTAGATCGACCTAATGTGATCCAACTTCACATTTGCTATGTATCGTTGATCTCATTTTGCAATTGCATTGCGTCATCGCAATTATTTTGAGAATGCTTCTCGGATTTGAACACGTAAAAACAACCCGATTCGAATAGGCTTTATAATTTGAGTAGGTTTCTTATTTTGGGGCGGGTGTTAGATTTTTGCCCATAAGAGAGAGCGAAAGAGCTTTTGACCGTAACGGTTAAATGTGGTGGGTACTTGTGAATCATCCTAAAGAAATTGCGGGTGTTTTGAAATCAATAAATCTCGTGGTAAGATTTGTTAATTTTTGGGAAAATGATATAAATGGTTTTCCAAACTTTTAATTTGTACAATGTGGTCATTGAACTTTAACCCAATATGCAATAGGATCCCTAAATTTTGTTTAATTTGGTCCATAAACTTTTAGTACATGTTCAAACTAATCCCTGGACTCTATAAAAATGTTCAATGTTCAATATTGAATATTTTCACAGAGTTCAGAGACTAATTTGAACATTTATTAAAAGTTCAGAGATCACATTGCCCATTGGGTTAGACTGTATTTAACAAATTAAAAGTTTAGATACCACATTGTATATTAGATCAAAGTTTGTGGACTATTTGTGTCATTATCCCTTAATTGTTTTGTAAAATTGAGAGATTGTCTCACGAAGAATTACGAGGGTTAAACACTGTGTGAATTATTTGGCGTAGTTGGGAGTTGGAAAACACTAAGAGTGTTTGAGTAACTCAAATGTGGTTGTAATTTTTATTGCGTCACTTAATCTATACTAGAAGATCATGCGTTGTTCCCGTTTAATAGATCATATCAACTAACTATGTAAATATGGTGTCCAATTGATTTCCGCAATCTATTTATTAATTGTCTGATCACTTGATTTTCGTAAAAATTGATATCAAAGACAGGATTAGCTGAGTTGAAACAAATCGATGGCGACAAAAAAAGAGAAAAAGGGAAAACCGACCGGTTCGATGAGAAAGATTTTGGTTTTCGGAAGATACAAAATGAGGATTACCTGTATAAAACGAATTTGCACTTGCACTTGTCCGAGGATATAGGGATTTGCTGGATATACATGCGTTAGGTATTATTCGACTGCCATTAGCTCGTAACGTCGAGTTTAACGTCATAAAAGAAAGATCGCTGCAGGATTGATGAATGTCGTGTCGAACTTACGCGGTCCCGAGCCTCGTATCTCGCGGGTCAATTTGTAGTCAAATTATTGGTCATTTCTCCATCAAACTAAAAAAAAAAAATTTGTTCAAAAGATGGGCGTAAAGTTTGAGGTCTCAACAACTTGTGCTCGTACGGTGGCGACTCAGTCTTTTCGGGCAATGGCACTTTCCCCTCGGAAATCGACGGAGACCGCCGTCGTTACAGTCCGTCGCCGGTGGGTGAGAATGAGATTTGCAAGATTGGAATGAATTTCAAGTTGGGTTGGGAGTGGGTGTGTCTGTTTTCCCAAACAGCCGCCGTTCATACGTGGGTGGATTCCCAGCGGTTGGGCCCGGGAGAGGAGAGCTGGCCGGGTCGATACAGCCCAATAGCCAGGCCCACATGTCGGAGACCGTATCGCAACTCATTGTAAAGGAGTCGGATAACGAAAAGCTTAAGATTACGAGTAGACTCGTCAAATGGTGGGGTCGGGTCAAAGATGATCCGACCCAAATTGACCCATTTAACCTCTTTTTTTTTTTTACCAATTTCCATGTAATATAAATCCAGTGACCCATGACCGACCTGACTCATACTCAACTCGATCCGTATTGCTAAAAACACTTATATATTTTAAATGATCTAGGAAATATCATACCCAAACTAAGATGAGATCACAAAGTGAGCAAACCCGAAATCGAGTGTGGGCGAGAGAAAGTGAAGAGAGAGTCATAAAAGTGGATTGGGTCTAAATAAATTATGAATCCATTTAACACCCATATTATTTAGGACTTTACCATTCTAAACTCATTTATAATCCCTTTATTTAATATAAGTAAATACATAACAATCCAGCCCATCAAATAACCTATTTTGACAGGTCTAGTTATGGGTCGAAACGAAAATCTAATGTATATATATTATAGAAATTGTCTAGAGAGATCACACCGGCAAAAATAACACTTACCATAAAAAAAAGGTAAATTCTAATCTCTAAGATTCGCATTATTGTTTGGAGTGTTAAGACATTTCCAGCTCGGGAATCAGAGGTCTGCCTATTCGATTCCTACCAACTACTTGTAAACTTTTCTGAGTTAGAGCTGCCTGCACATGCCCAATGACTTAGGTCCAAGGAGTTTGCAAGGTGTTTTATGGGTATCGGGGCAACTGGCTTTCCACACCTACACCCTTCTTTCCACACCTAAACCCTTAGATTCTCGAAAAAAAAAAATAGTCGATTTTACTCTTTTTTTTTAACTCTTGAACAGCACATGATACATAGATGATGATGACGATATCAAAAGGAAAAGAAGCTCTATTTTAAATTACATGTTATAATGACAAGGGCAGCTAGGAATTCTTTTCTAGTTTTCATAGTATGCGATATTGCAGCTCAATTAATCAATTCCACGAGTGAACCGAAGCGCACATGATACATAGATATTGCAGCTCAATTAAAAGAGCTCTACTATAAGATGGCGAGTGTAGCCCCACTATCTACATTTGAAGAGGAGACGTTACGGTTTGAATGATGTTTTATCGGTAAAAAAGATGGAAATGGTCGATCATGTTGTTATCTGAATATGAAATCTATTGCAATCGGACCAACTGCTTAGCTAGTTCAACCAAAACATTTCAGGGTCAATGGTTTTCTACTTGCAATAATTTACAAATTATAACATTTAATATTTGACTTTTATCTAACATTTAACACATGGAATCGTTCAAAATTTATACACATCAGATATTTAAGGTTGTTCGCAATCTGGTAAAATTTCTCCATAATTTCTTACAGCAAATATTTTTTTTTCTTTGCACAAAAATGAATTAATAATCCCTTTTTTTGGTTGTTGAAAGAAGCCCAAATGTGCTAAAAAAATGTTTTCTACAGTCAATTAATGATGTAACATGATAAAAGCCATTTTGAACGCCCAAATATGATTATTTCAATTTGGTATTCAAATAAATAAATGTAGCATATATACAATATGTATGTAAAACCTTTTAAATTGAACAATTCTACTCGGTTAATACCACAAAAAACCCCAAACGGGTACATCCCGTGATAAATTTCCCTAAAACTAATTTTTTAACCACAAAAAACTTCAAATTGATATACCTGTGACAAATTTATCCTCCGTTAGTTTTCATGAAATATTACCATCAAATTACTGATTTGGATGACACGTGACAGTTGATGGATGTACCAGTTTGAGGTTTAAACCCTCCAATAGTCACAGGTTTACCATTTTGAATATTTTCGTAATATTAATCCATTTTAACAAAGGGTAAATTTGTCACAAATATACCAATTTTGAATTTTTTGTAATCAAAAAATTAATTTGAGATAATTTATCATAAGTGTACCAATTTAGAACTTTTGGTAGTTAAAATATTAATTTGTGATAAATTTATCACATGTGTACCAATTTAGGATTTTCGGTCGTATTAACCCTAATTCTACTATAACATAAAACTTTTCTGGTTATATAATTGCGATTTTACGATACTAGCGCCAAACTTTTGTAGCATATTTTTAAGGAAAATGACGATATATACCTGCCTATTTAAACCGAACCATATAATTTCTCATCCTGTATATCACCACAGAGAGCAATACATAAGAATACCTTCTTCGGGTACATACTTTACATCGACATACATTTATAGTATACATCGCTTAACTGGACCTCAATCTCAAGCAAAAACTATTCCGGAGCAACCCCAACAGCCGCCGACAAACGCTCGGGCCACATACAACTGGGTATGATCTTTTGAAAGTACCTACTTACAGCTCTACAAAATGACAATCCAGTAACTTAATATCTGCGATACGGCCAGAGAACTCATTTAGACCCTTCAGGACCGGGCGTGGGTTGGGTCTCCTCGGGTGCAGATGCCTTGCGGAATACTCTTCCCAGCTGAACTCCGACGGTAGACCCGTCATGAGAGCTTGCCTGGCCAGAACCCGACCCATCACCAGCCGCTGCTCTCAGTCCCTTCTTTCTCTTCACTTTCCGTGCCCAGTTGACAAGGCCTACCTGCAAGTGCTCCTCGAATATGGCCTTCTTGAATGAAGTTCCCATCTTCATCCAATCAGAGAAAGAAGGTAAGACGGATGATGTTAAGAGAAAGAAAGATAGTAGATCAATCATTAGCAGCAAGAGGGCCCACCTGAGTGACTATGGCATATAGGGGCAGAGTGCTGTAACTGCAGAGTACCTGAACGAACACACTGAATACGACCATGCAAAAGTGAGAAAGTGGATGAACATTTTTTTCTGCTAATATCATATAACTATTTGAAGATATAGAAATCATATTGGATCACGGATTATACCCAATAATAAGCCTCGGAACAATGTAACGGACTTGTCCCATTATGCAGGAGTCAAAGCCATATTGAACCTACAGACAAAAGAAACCATGAGATCCCGTTAATTTGCTAGCTAAATTCCTGCTCCGCCGCCATCAGATTCTGAAACAATACCCCCAAAACGGCTTACCCAGATCCAGAAGAAGAATGCAATCTCAAAAGCATTCTGGAAAAGTATAAAATGGATCAAGTAGAGGACTATTCGGGGGCGTCGAAACCAAAAGTGTTCATCTGACGGTTGAACAACCAGTTCCCCTTCTATTGCGCTATGCTTTTCAGCAACTTCATGAGCCAATTGTGTAATAACATGCTCCAGCTTGGTTCCCACAGCCAGCAGAAGCTGGAAATATTATCAAAAGGTGGAAATGCACATGATTTAGTGATGCACAAAAGTCTGATCAATCATGGCTTCAAGATTGCATGCACTCTCAACCATGACCGAACTTTTGAAAACATGAAACGGCAGGTGCACCCCAACATTTTACAGGCAGATAAGAAACACTAAGGTAGGATATATCACAAATAGATAGCAAACAGAGCACCATCCCCGATCATTTCAGAAAATAGGATGCCAAGGAGCAATTTTCCCTATAAGTACTAATGACAAACTCGATTGTATAGCATTTAGAGTGAACTTTTGTCCATGCACGATCCTTGTTCCAATATTATTAGGTATTTGAAACTTGACCATTACGGTAAATTCATACTGCACGGAGAATTTTCTATCAGCCAAACAAATAGGAAGACTAGCATAAGGTTCTAAAAAATTTGGAGCTCGACTTCTTGGAAACTACAATCACAAAGGACTGCCAGCAACTGGTCATCCATGGCTGTGAGGGAGATATTAGAATATATAAACATCACATCTGTGTGCTCCTTACAACCCTTCTCTATTACCCATAAAGACTGGTGAAGTACAAGCTTGAAAATGTAAATCAGTCATTCTTCAAATATTTCCCTCTTGAAGTCAATAATATTGTATGAACCGTAAATCACACACAAAATAAACCTTATCATAAGCACAGTGTCCTAGTTGTTCCATGTTTTCAAGCCATGATCCATCATGATTAGTAGCAGATCATTTGACAGCTAAGTTGACTTCTCTTCACCTTGCCAAACACCTATTACTCATTTCTCTGTTGAAAATCCATTGAATCCAAAAATATACTTCTGCATGATATTGCTAACCTAAGTCTCGCTTCCTCTTAAACTCATCTATCTTACAAGTCGGGTACAGTTCGTACAGGAATGATGCACAGAAATGACCAGCTCCAACATGTCGGCAGAAACTCAATCACATGGAAATATTCTCAGTTCACACTAACAGTATGTATAGAATAGACCCAAAATATCCCTAAAAGAGGAGCAAAGCAAGCTAATTGAGGTCCATAATGCTATTTAAGCACATCCTGTCTATGCCATCAGATTAAAAAGAGAAAGAGTTCGCCACTGGACAGGATGAAATCACTATTAGTTGAAAATTGAAGATCCAGTTAAGAGAAACAAACTTCAACATTATTTTCAGGATTTATCACAAGATATGAAAAGGTTGAAGCAAATCCAGCAACCTACATGGCTCACGGCACATCCTTATCAACAAAGAGTAAAAACAGCATCCTTAAAGGCTAAAGCAAAGTTACCAATAAAACCATGGACTTCTTTCAATATTAGTCCAACACACTGACTACTCTTCAGGGAAAATCTGTCATTTTCATCCAAATTAAACGGCATTTACAGGAGTGGTTGTTATGGGCATAACCCATTAAAACTACTTTCTTTTTTTTTTTTGGTCAAACATTAAAACCACTTTCTTAAGTACCAGCCAAATCGTTGAATCTTAAAACATCAAAAACACTTCACATTCTCAATGTGGCCTATCATTCCATCCTCACATGAGAGATAATCCTAACTATAAGACCTTTTAAGTGACAAACTCAATTAGATTCTCCATCAAATTTTTATTTAAAATTTTCACCCATACTTGCAGAAGACACAATTTAGAAAGACGCTTTCCAGCACCTGCTTCATATTTTCCATTTTAGTTCATTAATCACGGCCATATATTCGCTTTTACATAAATGGCTACCATGAAGATAGACATCCGCAATAAATTTAAGGGGAACAGAACAGGTAACTCACAATGATTGGAATGAATGCTATCCAGAAGTATGTATGCCAGCCTGCACAGAGAAAAGTAAAAAGCAGAGGTCATGTAATAACAATCACAGCATCGGGCCACACTCAAATAAAGAAACTGTGCAGAAGGCACTGGTGAGAAAATAATGTGCATTTACAATAATAGATTGGACCCAGCAAGTCTATGGTTTTTCGACATGGCACTTTTATACACTCAAAGCAGATGAACCTCAAAAGCATCACTAAAAGATTAAATAGTGGCATGCAGATCCATGAAGACAGGCAAGGCGATAAATAAACAACTTCATTAATACAGATTGTTATAAAAGAACACTTCTGGCCATTAAAGCAGTAACAGGACTTGATGAAATGCAGAGTATAATGAAGGCGAAAAGAACAGTAAATCATCACAGGCATCTGCCAGATGACTTACATACCATGGACATTCAGCAGCAAGAACACAACCACAAATATCCACAGATACCAACTGCAACCAAGGAAGGCAAACTATTAGCATCAACTATGTAGTTAACCATCCCCCATGCCCAACATGTCAGTGAGTGATTTGTCATCAAAAAATTGTAAGAAATCATATACCTTATCCCCACAACTCTCTTAAAATCATCCTCCAGGGCACGTATCATGTATTTGTGAAAATTAAACTTCGGGTTACTCTTGCAATGCTTCTGTCATAGAGAAAAAGAAAAAGTAAAGATGCATATCAATGCCCAGACAAAGTTGGCAATGCCAGACTACTTAGTTCGAGCAGAGAATCAATCTCAAATTTGTAACCTACCGTGATAAAACCCAGGCGCAGTGTAACGTAATCAGCCTTCGCAACAGCACCATAAAATTGCTTGAAAAATGAATGCTGTAAGAGAAAAAGATTATAAGCAAATAAAGATAGTTACCGCTAAAACAGACTTTTGCATCAATAATTAAAGGCTTATTCCTCATCTCAATATCCATTTGCATATGATACACTGGCAAAAAGCAATGGCTCCCATCACAAAGAGCATGCTTGCTCCCTAGAGATTTTCGAAATAAAGGGCCAGATCCCTTCTAGTAAGCACACTACTAACATTATCTGACCGCTATTTGTTCGAAGATCAAAGAGTTATTTTCTTCTGTTAGATCTCGATCACAAACCATAAAGCAGCAAAATATCTATTTCATTCAAGCAAACACTGGTCTCATAGCAGATTCTATCCAAATTATTGCTGTACTTATGTCCTAGCATGAGGACATGCCATAAAAGGACAGGAAAAGGGTGTGGACACAGAGAGAGAGAGAGAGAGAGAGAGAGAGAGAGAGAGAGAGAGAGAGAGAGAGAGAGAGACAGACAGAGAGAGGAACAAAGAGAAGGAAAACGTCAAGTAGAGAAAAAAAGATAATACTTTTTCCATAGAATGAACAACAAATGACCTAGGACGCAGAAGTGATGACAGTGACTTCTACAATGAAAACATATATACAATTAACATCTGATGCAGATCATCAAAGGTAGACACCTAAAAAAAGTCTCTCACTATCAACATTGTAGCAATATCAAAGGCAATAGATCCAGTTCATCGAACAAAATATACATTCAGACTCTACCATGATTGAGATAGCAACTCACCAACCAACCAAGAAGAGCTGAGTTTTTACCAATACCCAGAAAATGTTCCTTGATGAAGGCATGTTGTTGGACATGTGTGAACTTGTCTAAAGCTGCATTATTAAAAGTTTATGATTATCAAGTAATAAAGACAAAATACCGAGCAGATCATCTGAAACCAGAGGACACATTGTGTTATTAATGCCAAACTATTTATCTTGGTTTTAAAAAGCCTCTCGAACAAAGTACATTAAGTGTGTTTTCCGTTTCCGTATTTTAGATGTATCCCTCTTTCTCCTTAACAAAACTTACCAAGATCAGAGAGAAGTGCATCCCTAACATTCAGAATTTATACTTAAATGCACAGAAAAGGGCAAGATAGAATTTGCAGTAAAACACAAGCTCTGGCGTACCAAAACAGACTTCCGGCATACCGATGGAGTGCAACTTACGTGTCCTAACCTAAAGAATTAAAGCCCAAACTGAAAGTGAAGGACCACGATACTCTACTCAGCATCCATGCCATCAAAACATCATATTAGAACTCTATTAATAGATGCAATAACTGCTGGACATAAAATAAATGTTAACAGAAAACATAACATCCCAAAACAAATAATAATGCCGATGGCATCTAGACTGCATCAGAGTGCGAAGATGCTACAAAAAAATAGCCTAACATTGCTTTTTTTGGATATTAGCAGATACAGCAACTTTTAGGTTTAAGACAAGCACAAACTGCCAGCCAAGTCTTCTTGTCTGTTTTCCCCCTTCTAAACCTGAGAGAAATGTGATACGTGCTTCTCTTGGTCTAATAGATTACCTTTCCTACTATCATAATTTTCTTTGGCAATAGCATTCTCCCAGTGTTTCCATTGACGTATCTGCATCAAAATAGGCATACAATGTCAGGAAAGTGAAATTAGAAGAGAAAGCAAAAGTCATGAGTGGCTCACCCTTGCGCCTCCAAATAGAACGGTGAGAGCACAGAAAGTCACATGGACTATTGCTAGGACAAAGATAAAGATGTGAAGATGGTGCAATGCCTCAGTAGACAACAATGGCACCTTATTCTGAAGGAAAGAAAAGGGATATTGTTAGAGGACCATCCAAATGTAAAAAGTGCATCTACGTAAATAAGATTGACCTAGGAGTTTGACATTAAAAATCGCTAAAACGCAATAAAAGCACTCTCATGTATGACCTTTTAAGTCACTGAAAGCATCATAATGTTGACATCTTTCATGGTATCATTATCAATGATATAGACAGGTCTCACTGCATCTCCTGATTAACCCACTAGTTATAATCCAGTTGATCGCAAAATAGTTCAGTTGACTTTTATTTGGTGGCAACAGGAGTTGGATGATAAAAACCACTGCTTATTCCTCTAGACCAGAGACAAAAAAAGTTTGGTGACAACATACATCAAGTCCATTTGTCAAATAAAATTGTTCCGCATTTTATAATACCAGGAAAGGCAATATGATCTTAGAATACACATTCAGAACAACATCGGTATACAAAAAAATTAAACAATGAAAGAAGCTTGATTTACTCTACTTCAGTCCTTCTCCATGTGCGTAAGACCAAAGCACATGGCCGAGCAAATAACAACAAAACCACTACAATCAACGAAAAATAATGGCAATAACTAATAATACATTACATCAAGATCGCAAATCTGACCTTCGCAGCGCAAGTCCCGGTCTCGGATGACGCCGTTGACGTCTCAGCGAGGAGCTTCCTGATTTTCCCCGGAGCAACGGAGAAGGACAGCTGAAAGTGCGAGGTAGTGGCGTTGGAGGCGGTCTCTCCTTCATCTGGGGCTTCGCTGAGGCTGCAAGGGAGCATGTGCTTCATGAAGTCCCCGGGTACGCACATTCGGGATATCGGGTTTTGGAACACCGTCAACAGCAGCGAAATGAACCCCAACAACATAAGCTCTGTAAACCCAAAATTTTTGCAGCAAAACCTCAATCATTTGCATAGAAAATGAGACCCATTTCACCAAAAAAAAACACGAAAACTCGATAGAACGTAGATAGAAAGCGAGACCCATTTCAACAAAAACAGAGAACTTGATGGCACGCGCACACACACAGAGATAGAGAGGGGAGGAGAGAGAGAGAGAGAGAGAGGACCTTCTTTAACTTTCTGGAGGGCTTCGTAGAGAGGCTTCTGGTCCTTGTTCTTGAGGTACTTGCCAGTGTAGTGGAGCAACCGCTCGACCCCAAGGGAGATGGCGACGATCACCGTGCAGACAGCGGCGACCACCCACGTCGGAGTAAACTCCAACGTCGTCTCTCCTTCTCCTCCTCCGGTCATCTTCTCTCTCTCTCTCTCTCTCTCTCTCTGAAAATTCAAAAGATTCAAGAAAAAGAAGACAAAAGGCCGGTGAACAGTTACAGCAAAGGGGGGGAGTTATATTTAAGGAGGACAAACACAAAGGCCGATCTTTTCTTGGGTGGGCATTAAATCAGCCGTAATGGCAAATGATGAAGGAGGAGGAGGAGGGAGGAGTTGAGTCAGATCTCGCTCACGCGGTCATGGGGAAGAGGGTCGGACACACACACCCACATTACCAGATGCACCGAGAGGTGTGTGGGAACTGCAGAGAAAGAGACAAGAAAGGCGTGAAACCAGTGTCTTCCCGTGAAATGGAAGCCAGTGTGGCCACCACTGGCTTCAGATGATGAATAAAGAAGGTGATGGAAAAGGAACCAACTTTTGGACACGGAGAGAGAGAGAGAGAGAGAGAGAGAGGGGGAGGGTGGGCACTGGTCCAAAAGACGAAGAGAAACAAAATGGATTTGACGTGTGGGGATTCTCTAAAGAAATGCAAAATGCAAAAGGGTGGAAAAGAGCTTTAGCTGGTCCCAATGTGAAAGCTCTCTCACACCTTAACGTGCGGTGTGTATTTTAATCGATTCGGAGCTGTTAAAAGTAGGGACCACTCTCCGGAGGAGATTGGCTCTCTTCTTTTTTCTTGAAAATCAGTACGAAAAGTTGTTTTCTTTTCATTCGATTTGAAGGCGTTGCTGTTCCTTCGTAGTGGTTAGAGAGAGAGAGAGAGAGAGAGAGAGACGGGCCGGGTGGGGCGAACTGGTGATGCTGATGACAGTTGGACAAAGAAACAACGAGAAGGGAAGGGAATGGAAGGGAGGAGCAGCGCCCGGGTGACGCGACGCGGGACTCGCTGTGATTCACGTTCCGATCCGATTTGCGAAACCTCCTTTTGGGCTTTTGCTTTGGCCTTCTCTCTTCTGTGGCTCTCAATCACATCCCATCACATGACATTAAGAATTAGGAATATGCGACTTTCATGATGATCTTCCGCGTGCGTCGTTGCCGTTGTAAAACTCGCAAATGTGGCCGTCCTTCTTTGCTAAGAAAGCGGCGAAAAGCATCGCGGTTAACGGGTATGGCGTGTTGGACTTATTAGATTTGTACGATGTTGTTCTTGAGTTTTCGGCTTATGTGAAAACGAGTCGAGAATGTTTATTTGTTCAAGCTACTCTTGTCGTCAATAAAGAATTAAAGATTACAAACCCGAGAGAGAGAGAGACAGGGGGGAAGGGAAGGGCAGGCAAGTAATGGCAACAGTGCCGCTCGGCCATTCACTATGCATCGAGCATCGTTGCCCGAGCCTAGCCATGGTCTCACCACCCTCATTGGTGCTTGGGCGGAGCCATCATCGTCCTTTGTTGGCGGGGGCAAGTCGAAGTTTCTTTCTTATTTTTTTTTTAAATTTCTTATTTTCATAAAACATAACGTACATATTTTTTAATCTTTTAAATTTTGTAATAGCCGTGTGGCTACCGCCAAGGCAAATAACAATCAATTAACGGCTGCGATACCATTTCTGTCAGGTTTTCCACCGGAAGACCGACCATAACAAAAATGACCCAAATTTTTTTATATCTATTTGATTAATTACGTATTGACTTGTTAGGAAAATTATGAATTTTTCTCTGGCACCAAAATGTGCTTGGAAAATCATAATCCCATTATGTCATTAGTACCATCAATATCACATGTTATGTCATTAGTACCATCAATATCTCGTCATTCATTTGTTCGTAAGTAAATATTAAAGGTATCCAACATTTTTTGGTCCAACTTAATAGTTAATACCATATATCCTGAATTCGTTGAACTTTTCTATGAACAATATATCGAAATCTAATCAATTTTAACTCCATTCTTTTCTTACTTTCTCATTCATCAATTTGTTATACATCTCCGTTAGTTGGTCAATATATCGATTTGTTTGTCTTTAGTTTTATTTCTGTTAAATAGTTTAATTATTTTATTAGTTAATTAATTATAGGGTTAATACCATGAAAAATTTCAAATTAATACATTTGTGACAAATTTACCCCAAACTATATTTTTTTACCACCAAAAATCCCAAAACTGGTATACATGTGACAAATTTACCTCCGTTAGTTTCCGTTAAATTTTACCTTTAAATTGTTGAGTTTGACGACATGTAACAATTGACGGGTGTATCAATTTGGGGTTTTACCTCTTCATTTGTCACAGGTTTACCAATTTGTGATTTTTTGTGGTATTAATCCAATTTTGCGGAGGGTAAATTTGTCACAAGTATACCAGTTTGGGTTTTTTTGTGGTCAAAAATTAGTTTAGGGTAAATTTGTCACAAGTATACTAATTTGAAATTTTTTATGGTAAAAAAATTAGTTTAGGGTAAATCTGTCACAAGTGTGTGCCAGTTTGGAATTTAGGATTTTTCGTGATATTAGCTCTTAAATATTTCATTCATTTTATTTCCCGATTTGGTTTGCTCCTTTTCATGAACACTTTCACCATATGAATTTTTTAATATTTACTTATTGTTTTTGCTTCTCATCCGTGACATTTTTTTTTTCCAATTATTGAATCTGAATTACCATTATTCCCGCATTCATTTAACGGAAGATAGCATACTGCTTCACGCGTCAAGAACATAAATTCCGATACGCATCATCTCATTTGGTGGGAATTTGATGCTTCACATGTTGAACGCTTCTTTCATCGTACGCAACATTTGGAAAGCAGAATTCGGTCAACCAACCCGCAAAAGTCATTTGAAAATTGTTCAGTGGTCATCGAATTGTCGAATGTTGTTTTGGCCCACGAAAAATGAGAAAGAAAAGAAGTGTTCAAATTGACTAATTGTTTAAAGGTCAATGAGGAGCTAAATTACATACTGACATCTGAATCAACAGGTGAACGTTCATTTCAGTCCCAAATGACGTTTCAGTGCAGCAGTCGAAGACCGAACCTCCAAGGCCAGAACGAGAATCAACCAACAGTTACCACTAGCCGCTAGGCCGGCCGCTCTTCTCCTTTAAGAAAACTGGCGTTGTACCGTGCAGTGAGATATCATTTTGTCTTTAGTCGGGAATAAAACAGGTATCGAAACATCCTGCTCGACTAATCTCCATAGAATTATGTATACCATCCGCCGGATATAATTAGATATCAAGCTTTAGTATTTAGTGAGATCATGATACACCAGAAGTTGCCAACTTCTATTCTGGCTAAAGAAAAGGAACAACGAATCTAAAATTCCATGAACCCTCTTCACGTATTTGAACATCCAAGGATGGAATGCGCCTCAAATTACCACTTAAGCAAAGCAAAATGGAAAACTCCAGGTACATATTGGAGACGATGCAAGCACCAGAACCACCACATGCAATTTCCCCTCCTGTATAATGTATTCTCCGTAACATGTTGATCAAGAACTAGTAAATGACAAACAATTGACACGATTCGTATTAGTAGTACTGTCAGAAAGACTGAACCTGTCCAACCAACATGATTTCATTACATAAGCGTATTTGCAGCAAAGACCAAGGAGGACCTGTTCATCCAGCAAGCACCGGAGGAAGAGAGCTCCGGTCGAAGATCCATTCTGCAGTTAAGCCATCAAGGCATCAACTGCCACCTTGAGCGAGCTGCAAATGGCTACAAATACCTCTAAAGATGTCAGTATGGTCTCACACTTGCCAGAGTTTTTCCACTGAATATCCCTGCTGGAGTGGAACCTGTAAATTTTTAAGTGCGCTTGTTCTAGTGGCAAGATAATGGCATGTTCTCTACTAAAAACTACGATAACTATATGTAAAGCAGAAGATCAAACATGCTTTTCGTAAATGTAGCCGGCATACCTGGACGAAGAGTAAATAAATCAAAGATGCCCCTGGTTTATCAAGTAACAGTAAACCTCAACCCAAAAGCAACTTGGTATAAGCAAGGCTATAAGATATCATGTCTCCGCACTGTTAAACAGTTTGAAGTACATTATCAAGATTAAGTACAAAAAAAAAAGAGCCTGTTACCGAGATAACATTAAGGATGTATTCTAGTGTCCAAAATTTCCTCATTGGACCAAAAGTAATAACTCTTATTAAGTCAATGAAGCCGAATGTCTATACATCTGTCTACAATTTACACTTCTGTAATCCCTTCCAACACCAACTCACTCAATATTCTTGACTTTTCCACGTGCCGGACTCCTGCACTAACGACCCCAATCCATCTTCTCTGCACAACCCCCCACAGAAGACAAAAAAGCACGTATGGGAGGAAAAAGAAATGGAGGAAGCAAACATGGCAGGACTCATTAGAAAGGAGGGCCATTTAATAAAGGTAATCAAAAAGTGAAAGATGGAAAAAAGAACCTACAACTATAACGCCAAAAATTTGATCCTATTTCATCCTGAGATATACAACCTGTACATCGCTTCAAGCTAGGACTCAGCCATTAAGCCTCGCCAAAAACTGTTTCAAATTATATTCTTCGGCATATTGGGATTGATCCCACAGTTCACCCAATCCACCAAGGATGGCTTTCAAACCTTTCCCAGCGCCCATCAACTTCGGGTCAACATCAAAGTTGCCATCTGCACGTCTTGATACAATAGCTCCCTGAAAATTCAATTTTAAATAATATTTAACTGCATGGATAAGAAGTATTAAGGTGAAGAATACCAAAATCACACTAACCATTCAATCCTAACCCCCTTTCCCTATCCTCAAAAAATGAACAAAATCATAAGAAGAAATAAGAGAAGTAATTTGAAAGAAAAAGATACTCGCGAAGCTTAATTTAAGTATATATTTTTAAAATATTTAGGATGGCAGATAAGGGGGGAGAAACTTCCACAAGCATATAATATATTATTACAAGCACTAAAAGTCCAAACACCAACACCCTCGACGGTCAAGAGACACTCGTTGGTAGCATGAGCAGTAAAGTATCACTAATAATGACAACAGACTATGCAACCAAAGAGCTTGACACACTGAATGATAAGAATTGAAAAGGAACAGGCACCACTACCTTTCTGCCAGTTTCTGCTGAGGAAAATAGATCCAGCAGTTGATCAGTATTCATTGTTTTCAGACTAGCATTATCCGCATTAATAACGGCATTTGCAACCGACACTTTGAATCTCTGGAGGCTCATGACTTTCTCCTCCAAGGTGCCTCGCATAATGAGGCGGTGTACATTGACAACTTTCCGCTGGCCTAATCTGTGTGCTCGATCCATAGCCTGAAAACAATTTATGCACAAACAAAATGAGAGCTTGTTCGAAGAGGCAAAAGCTTTTAATTGTTGTTTTTTCCCTTTGTATTTGACAAGAACTTTTGACTTTTGAAGTAACTGGAGTTTTTGTTAGATTTAGTGTATAAAAGTCTAATTTTTCACATGGTTATTTTGTGGA